GTAAATTAGGATATAAGAATTATTTTAAGAAATTCAATTATTTTCGAAAAATAACATTATAATATTTTTAAAAACTAATATTATTAGAATTTTTTTATAGTAATTTTTTAAGATTTAATTATCTTCGAATAATGTAAATAAACATTTATGAAAATTTACTTCAATAAGACGAGCGAACATGACAGCTTGGTTATCAAAACAAAAAGAAAATCGTTTTTTGTTCGTTTCTCGGATCGTGTTGCTCGAATGAAACACTACTGTAAGTGTAATTTTCAACTGACTTTTAGTAAAATTATTTGTTTGACAGAAATTTACAATATTAATAAATAAATCACAATAAAATAATAATCAGTGAAGAATGACTGATATTTTAGTACTTTTCAACTGATTTTCAGTAAAATTCCACTGATTATGAATCCAAAGTCACTTTTTAAAAATACAAAATGGCGAATCCAGGATAGCGGACGAAAATGAAAGGTTTAGTAAGAGAATACGTAAAAATAACATTTCGTATAATGTACAATGACATTTTTTGTAAATGTCACTTCATAATTTTTGTCTTATTACACAATGATTTTAAATAAAATAATTTATATTTTTATAAATATTAATAATTTTTTACATTTTCTAACCACTATAAGGTTTTAATTTTGTAAATGTTCAAATTCTGGTTTAGAAAGAAAAATTTATATTATTATACAACTATATTGTCTAGACTTGCAAAAACCCAAAGTCTAGACTTTGTTGTAACAATATTGTTACAATATATATTGTAACAATATTGGTGACGGTGACATGCGTAAGAATAGTGCAGTAAAAATTTCAAAAAAACACCCTGATCATTACCTACAGAAAATTCTATTAGTAAGAAAAGAATGGACGTATCTTCGCCCTTTTCTTACTAATTATTCAGAGAATCAGGCTAACATTCAAAATCTAACCTTCTAAGTTTAGTTATTTCAAAAAAATTATTTTATTGATGCAAATAAATATTTATTTTAATTAAAAACTATGCATTATTTAATCAAGTAATTTTTATAATTGATTTAAAGCAATATTTATTAAATTAAATTATTCTATTTAATTGACTTAAGTAATTTGTATTTGGTTTAAATAACTATTTAATAGATACCATAAATTAAAATATTTATGTCCAGTAAATATTTACTTAGTTCAAATAAAAAAAAAAAAATAAGTAAAAACTAATAAGTTTAAATACAACCGAACGAGCGTTAGCGAGTGAGGTATATGTTGCTAGTATATATTATTATATACTAAATAATAATATTTATTCGCCAAAATATGACTATCAAATAAACACAATTTAATAGCTTGAACAAGAGCATTAAAATTGATTTCTTCTGAATCAATTGACTTTTTTCCACTTGACATGCCCAAAAATACTAGAAAAAAAATCAAAACAACATTTAAATAGTATGCCTGCAAAGTCGTATTTTTTATGCTGCCCAGATGGGTGTTGACACCGTCTCACAACTGGTGATATGCTGTGTCTCACACCCAGAAATTGGCGCTATTTTGAAAAAGGAAAATTAAATTATTTTCAACCGTAGATTGGAACAATGCAATATTGCATCACAAAATATAAGGAAAACACTAAAAGAAAATGCATTACATTTACCTTTTCCAATTAATTAACTTGGAAAAAAAGTACTTTGTATTTATTGAAAAAACGCTTTTTAGTCGATTATCACACACAGTGTTGGTATTTAACAAAAACAGTTTATATATCCGCTTCGGCGTACACGAAAAAGTTGGCTCATATAAAAAGAAATGTTTTTATATAAACCAATCGGCTTTTTAATATTGCATGTTAAAAAAAATTGACTGTCTCACAACTGGAGGTGTCTCACAACTGGAGACTCTCCCCTAATAAAATTCTTCGCAGAAATTCAATTATATTACAAAATTTAAAGAAATTCTAGTCAAAATTTCAATTCTCTTTATAAATAATAAAATTCTTCTTCGAAATTCAATTATTTCAAAAAATTTTAATAAAATTCTTGGCAAAATTTCAATTATTTGCAAAAATTTTCCTAAATTCAATAATTTTCAATATCTACTATTTTAATAAAATTTTCCAAAAGCATTCTAACAGGCCTCGAACTGAGTACATAAATTAAGAAAAAGTACGTAATTTTGAATTTGGTACCTAAAAGTACGTAATTTTGACAAAAGGTCCGTAAAGTACGTAATTTTGACCATTTCGACTAAAAATCAAAATATGTATACAGATTGTGAATAAACATTTAGTTATGCCTTCTCTATTTTTATTCACATTCACTTTCCGATCAATCCGCTGACGGTGATCATTTTCAGAAACAGTGATTGGTCGAAAACAAAAGTCATATTTTGTTAATAAAGGGTTCATACCACTATTCATGCCTCAAAATTTAGCTTTTTTGTAGAATTTTTTTACGATCCATGTAAATTTTATTGATTTAGGTCTTTTATAGTTTAACAAAGACACTCTTTAACTATATAGAAAACGTCGTTTTATTAAAAAAAATATTGTTTAATTATTTAAAATTTAACAATAGAATACACAACATGAAAAAATGTGAATTGAGTTACTTATAATGTAAAAATTTACTGATTCAACTAGTAACTATGTAAAGCCTTTGTACGCGTTCAAATGTCACCTAAAATAATATATTTAAAGTGCTGAGATCTTTCTAAAATTTTACACAACATTTTTGAGATATTCTATACTTTCAAAATCCGTAAAAAAATTTAATTTTTTGAAGTTGACAAAGTGGTATGAACCCTTAAAGAATTTCAAAAACTTCTTAATTTACAGTTCTTAAGTAAAATTTTATCATAAGAACATATAAAATATTATTTCAATTTTAAGATTTTCTAAACTAATAAAAATATGTTGATTGAAATCCATGTAATTATTTAAACTATATCATTCTATTTTGCGATTTAAAGTTGGCACTTTAAATAAAAAATTACAAATTTTGGTACGTAAATTGGTCACTAATTTTTCCTTTTTTGGTACGTAAAGTACGTAATTTTCAATGCCAAAGGCAGTTCGAGGCCTGAAATTCTATTATTTAAAAAATTTTTTATTAAAATTCTACGCAAACGTTTAATTATTTTTATAAATAATAAAACTCATCGCAGAATTTCTATTATTTTTAGTACAATTTTTATAGAATACCTCGAAAAATGTAATTATTTTTAAAGATTTAATTAAAATTGAATTCTTGTAGAATTCTCTAATAGAAATTGATTTAAAAGTGAATTTTAGTTAAAATTTTACATAATAATCAAATATCAAAAGCATTATATCATAAATTTTTAGAAATAATTGAATTTTTGAAAGAGTTTCAAATTGAAATCTTTGAAAATCTTAATATTTTAGGTTTTTAACTAACAATTCTGTAGAATTAATTTTTTTTAAAAAGTTTAATTGAAATTATATTATATTATAAGTAATTGATTTAATGAAGAATTTTAGTTAAAAATTCTATAAAATAATTGAATTGAAATGATAACAATATTTTTGAAGAAATTACAGTAAAAATATTTCTTATAGTAGATAATAATGATCTTATCACTGGGTAAAATAAAAATTTCACAATAATTCCATTATTTACAAATTTTTTTCATAAATGTCTTCTCAATCATTCAATTAATTTCATAAATAATAAAATTTTTACAGGGATTCAATTATTTTCTTAAATAATAAAACGCATGGCAGAATTTTAATTATTTTTAATACAATTTTAATCGAAAAATTTAATTATTCTTAAAAATGTTATTAAAATTCCTCAAAAGAATTCAATTATTTAGAAATTTATTGATAAAATTCTTTATAAGAATTAAATTTTAAGAAAGGGTGCGTTCACAAATGAAAACGTGACATCATTTGTGAATGTTCACAAACATGCAATTATTTAATAAATTGTTTTTTTTATTTAAATAACTGAATTCTAGTAGAATTTTCTCATAAAAATTGATTTAAAATTGAATTTCAGTTAAATAAAATTCTTCTTAAGGATTCAATTATTTTCACAAACAATAAAACTCATCGCAGAATTTAAATTATTTTTAATACAATTTTAATCGAATTTCTCGAAAAATATAATTAATTTTTAAAAATTTTATTAAAATTCGTCGAAAGAATTCAATTATTTAAAAATTTGTTGATAAAATTCTTTATGGGAATTAAATTTTAAGAAATATTCAATTATTCATTAAATTATTTATTTTTGTATTCAAATAATTGAATTCTAGTAGAATTTTCGAGTAAAAATTGATTTAAAAATTAATATCAGTTAAAATCTTAGATAATAATTGAATATTAAAAGCAATATAGCGTGAATTTGTTAAAATAATTGAATTTTGAAATGAACTTTTTTGAAAAATTTTAATTGATTTTTTTATAGTATTTTAAGTCTTTATTTTTAATATTAATTAAATTAAAGAATTTATGAATAATTGAAATTTTGTAAAATTGAATATTGTAAACAAATGGATTTGAAAATTGTTAAAAACTTTTTCGAAAATTTTTAAAAATAAACGATTTAAAGAAGAATTTTAGTGTGTAAATAATAATAAATAATTATTGTATTGTTTGTAAATAATAAATAAATAGTAATAATAATAATATCTTGTAAATAATAATTGAATTGTAAATGATTTTATCACTCGGTCATCTTTAATTATTATAAAACATGAAGAAATCGATATCTTCATGTTTTATAGTTATGAAAAATTTAGTTTATAGTTTTAAGCAAAATGTTCTTTTATTTTACTCCGACTGGTTATATTTTTGTCAGTAATTGGTCCGTTTGAGCCCCGGTTATTTCACAAGAATATTTAAGTTAAGAATATAAAGTTTTGGAGATATGAATCTATTTTCACAATAATTTAATTTTTAATAAAGGAATATAGTTTATTGATATAATAAAAATATTATTTAATTAGTAAAATTATGTAATTTATTGATGATGTATTTGCGTTTTTTTCAGGGGACAATTTGTAAAGGAAATTTCTACATAATTTATAATGGACGTCTTACAAGTGATACTGACATTCTATGTAGTGGTTCTGCTATTGTCAAACCTAGATTTTTTGGAGGAAAAGGTGGATTCGGTTCTATGCTTCGAGCGATTGGGGCTCAAATTGAAAAGACGACGAATCGGGAAGCTTGTAGAGATCTCAGCGGTAGGCGACTACGTGACATCAATGAAGAGAAAAGGTTAAAAATATGGTTAGAGAAACAATCAAAAAGTAAAGATGAAGCTTCTGAACGGAAAAAGAGAAAACTTGATAAACTTTGTTCAGAGCCAAAACATGAATTCAAGGATCAGAAATACGATAATGAACGATCTGTTCTAACTGAAAGAGTTGCCGATGCCGTTGAGGAAGGTTTCAAAGCAGCTGCTTCTACGTCTAGACTTAAGAGACCCTCTGAAACTGAAAAAGCAATTAACAAAAAGAAAAAAATCACCTTGGGTTTTGGTTTAGATCTTGACTCCGATGAGTTAGAATCTTCTGAAGATGATATCAGAGAACCTCAAGAAGAGAAACAATCAGTTCAAGAAGTAAATAATGATTCTGATGATGAATCGGCCTGCAATGATAAAAAATCACAATTAATTGAAAATCCTGAGAAAAATGTAAGCCATGAAAAGTTAGAAATAATTACCAAGTCTGTTGAAAACGAAATGGAAGTTGATGAACGTAAAATGAATTCAAAGGAGGTAACTACAGTTGAAAAAACAGAGTCTATTGTAACTAATTAGTAATAACTTATCAAAATAGTAATTTTTCTAATTGTTATTATTAATTCTTCAGTAATGTACAATTGAATAATTAATGGAATTTATTTGTTCTGTTGTAAATAAATAAAATATTTTCAGTTTTTATTTATTTAAATTAATAAACAAACTGTAAAATCTATAGTAACTTATGAATTTTTTACAATATGTAGTAAGTAAATTTTACTAAAATATGTAATAGTGTAATAAAATTTTATATTAGTTTAATATTTTGTAAATAATTGTAAACACTATAGATTTATGTGTTATATTAAAACATTTCCTTGGTTCAACGTCTTGAGCAGTATTGTACACTAAAAATATAAATATATATAAATTAGGGCGGGGTTTGACCCACCAAATTTTTTTGATAAAGCTAGGTAGTTGAAATCCTGCGCAACTTCTGCTCCAATCTTGCGTTTACACGTAAGCCGAGCTATAAATCTTTTCTACTTAAAATATGATATTTTTGATGACAAGAAACCAAATAAAACGTCTCCCAAAATGCACAACTCATCAGGACGCTATCTAGGCAAACTTATTTTACTAAATTTAAGATAACTTTCTTTCCCGATCTAGAAATTGTTTCCCCGAAAAATATGTACTTTTTAATGCCAAAAGAAATCAATTAAAACGTTTCCCGAAAAGCACAACTCATCAGGGGCCAGGGTGGCCACTGACGTTTTCGCCATGGAGTAGTATAAGGAGACTTAACGGTCATGTATGATGTGAAAAGTGTGCCACCTTTTCGGTTTGGTTTGGTTTTGGTTATTGGCCTTTTAGTCCCCGAAGGTCAGGTAGCCATGTATTCAGTGCCACCTTTTCGTACTACAAGTCCTCTTGTCTTACTTTCCCGGACGTCACGCCCCTCGCGGATAAAAATTGTACTTCGGTTGTAAACAAGAACACATGACATAACCTACAGCAGTAAATTTTTGTAAATTTAAATAGTTGACAAATGCACTTCTCTTTTAATTAAAGAAGGACATAAATTGTCTTTCTTTAAACCAAGGGTTTGTTCTTTTAAATATTTGACTAATAACTTTAAATTGTAATTTGTTGAGTAATGAGAAGGCCTAGATACGGTTTGTTTTTTATTAAAATTTATTAAAATCTAGGCCTTTTCATTAATCAACAAATTAATTAATTCGGTCTAACAGAAATCACAAATTTAAATTGTAATATTTGTTGCTGCCATTTATTAAGAAAATAGTTATGAATATTGAAAGCAAATTGTTCCACAAAAAAAACAAAGAATTGCTGAGGAGTCATGTCATTTGTGAGTTGCATTTTAAAGAAATGCATTTAAATACACAAAGACTAATTATCTGTTACGATTTATGAAAATACCTACATAAATAATTTATGTAAACACTGAAAAACTTTTCAACTTTAAAAATATTCAATTTCTATTTAAACACATCGAGCATCTGACAGTAGCAGACGATATTTAGTTTACTTTTTCCCCGTTAGAGACACTACTGTCTAGGAGAGTAAAGAATCATGAATTGAAGTGAATTCGGTTATCTGCGCTCTAGAGTGCTCTAAAGGCCAACGCAGAATAGATCTGTAACCGGAACCGCAATCGTAAGCGTAACCGTAAGAATGAGTTAAAGAAGGATAGGTATATTGTTTATCCTTCTCTAACTCATTCTTACGCTTACGGTTACGATTGCGGTTCCAGTTACAGATCTATTCTGCGTTGGCCTTAAGAGTGCTCCTCGAAGGAGTAGTATATTTCGATTTAACAAATTTGCTATAGTCAAAGCATACAAAGAAGGTTAACAACATATTATTAAAAGAATTAAACTATTTAAATAAAAAATAAAAACTTTTAGTGATTTTAACCTTCTACTGTGAATTCGAGTCTTTATTGTTTTTCCTTATTAATAAAATCAGACTTTTGTCTGTACATTGCATAGAATTCAAAATTTATATTCTATTCCTTCTTTTTACACTCTAAAAAATGCGAAAATACTATTAAGAAAATTATGTGTGTATGTGTGTGTATATGTGTATGTATGTCCGCAAATTTTCGACCGCGCATCACGGAAAAACGGTTCGATCGTTTGAAGTGAAACTTGGCAGTCTTTTAGGCATTAGCCTAAGGCCGCAGTCCCATGGCAGCGTTTTGCGTTGCGTTGTAATAAGAGAGAATACAGCAAACGTATATTTGCGTCTTTTTCTCTCCCATTACGACGCAACGCAAAACGCTGTCATGGGACTCCACCCTAACTTAAACTCCTAGCGATAGTAGATTAAAAAATATTAATATGAACGGAAGTTATGCCATTTTTTCGAAAATTCGAAATTTTTAGTTTTTTCATATACTTTAGTGAGTTGTACTCAAACTTGGTACAGAGTTAATTTTAGTGTTTCTTATTAATATTTAGTCGTCAGAATAATAAAATTTTGAATAACAAATAAAAAATATTAGATTTAAATATTGAAAGATTAAAAAATTAAAAGTTTAAAAATTTAAATTTTTTTGTAATTAATTTTTATACGGTTGTATTTCTTATGTCAACAATAAAAATTTGTTATTAAAATCACAAGTTTAGTTTTCTAACAAAATTTTATTAGGTCAGAAAATTAACATTATCCATATTAATAATATGAGTCCTTTGTCAGTAAATTGCACAGAATTCAAAATGGTTATATTATATTATATTAATTAATGATCAAAAAATAAAAAACTCAAATTCCATTCTGATGACTAAATTCTAATAAAAATCACTTAAATTAATCCTGTTTTTTGAAAATATAGCATAATGTTCGTTCACATTAATAACTTTTACTTTACTGTAGCTACACTGACAAAAATTATATGATTCAAGTAATTATAATTATTTGGAAAATAATATCTTATTTAAAAAGCTTTTATTTCGATCTAATAAGACTTTATTTCCTTTAAATAATTTTAATTAGTTGAATCAAATAAATCTTAATTCGATTAATTAAATAATTACTTGACTGTAATAAATGAATTTATTTAACACTAATAATGAATTATTTTAAAACAAATTATTTATTTCAGTAGATATACAGGGAGAGTTTTAACTCTAGATCCCTGCACCGACATGTTACCGACACTTTTAGCCCAGACTCAAACCATTGTGGGGGGGGGGTAAGATCTTGATGCTGAGACGGAAATGACGTCATTCACATTCCTGCACCGATATGTTACCGACACTTTTAGCCCAGACTCAAACCATTGTGGGGGGGGTAAGATCTTGATGCTGAGGCGGAAATGACGTCATACACATTCCTGCACCGACATGTTACCGACACTTTTAGCCTAGACTTAAACCATTTGGGGGAGGGTGCGATTCAGATTATGATGCTAAGCCGGAAATGGCATCACAAGGGGGGGGGTAATATTCAGACCATGATTTTGAGGCGGATATTACATCACAGGGAGGGGAGGTAATATTCAAATTATGATGCTTAACCGGAAATGACATCACAAGGGGGGGGGGTAATATTCAGGCCATGATTCTGAGGCGGATATGACATCACGGGGGAGGTAATATTCAGGCCATGATGCTAAGCCGCAAATGACGTCACACTTCCTAGAATTTTGGCATGTGTAATTTGATACCCGCTATTTATTTCTTGGAATTATTTTCTTCATTCAAGCTATTGTTTTACATGTAATTTGATATCTTGTTATATTAGATTCTTATCTAAGGAATTTTTCTCATGTACTTGTTGTTTATAATATCTTTGATTTATTGCTTCCGGTCTGCTTTATACAGTTTATTTATTTTGTTTTGACTAAGTTTTATCTAAGGAATTTTTACAAACATTTTCGGTACTTTTCATATGAATATGCTTTTAACTTACCGCAATTCTACAAAATCTATAATTAATTTCAAGGTCAAATAGGTCATATCTTGTGTATATAAAGCGGACAATTTTTCTAAACGAAATCATTCCTGCAGTTTAAGTTGGTTGATGAACATATTATCAGTAAAGCTTAGTAAAATTCAAGTGTGCCTAAACATCTTACTGTAAGAAATTGCTAAAGTTAAAAGTTCAATTATAGTCTGCTCGGAGTTAATCATTTTAGCAAAAAAACTAAAAGTTTCAATTGAAGTGATAAAAATGAATTTATAAAAATTAAACACAGCAATTAAAGTTATGGGAACTGATAGAAGCTCCAGTTATTGTAAAGAGTTTGTGAAAATTATGAACGATGCTTTTAAAACATTAGGCCCTACTAAAAAAATAATGACAAAACATCTGAAAAATAATCAGAATGTGTTGTTTTTGAGCAGTTTTTCTTACAATTGCAGCTCAAAAACATGAAAAAGACATAGAACCCTTCAAAATACTGCCAAGAATCATGAAAACTTTTATGACTGCCACCGAATTTTTTTTATAGCATAGCAAAAAATCTTTTTTGGGGCTGAATTCTTGTTCCTTTATGTAAAAGGGTCGTCACGCCTTTTAAAACTTAGGTATACCATCGATGAGAAACCATTATACATTTTTTAATTTTTAAAATCATTTTTGTTTATTTCTACACTGTATTTAATGTTTATAATCTCAGATTATTTTGAAGACTGTTTTACGTATACCTTATACTCTCTTGGCTTAAAATTCAAAAATGATATCTGTTACCAACCGGGATTGGTCCCCATGTCGGGCGAGGCAACAAAACACAACCAAACTTCCTTTTATTTTCATCACTTCTGGTTCCTGTCTTCAACAATATCAGTTTTTACATATCAGTTATAGTTCACGAGATAGCTTATAATTTCTTCAAAATGAAGGTTTTAAGAATAAATTTTAGATATTTAAAAACACGAAATATCAAAGATTCTAAATTTTTAAATTATAAACTTTCCTTAGTTAAATTGATCAAGTTTCAAGTAATAAAATTTTTGTTTAAACAATCATAAACCTTCAGAACAATGCCTTTTTTGGTCGCTCGACTCAACTCAGTCACAATGACCAATTCGTTACGCACCTTTCTTTAACAATAGATTTCCGAGTCTATTGTGATGATTTTACGGAAAAAAATTTCCTGTGAAAATTACAAGATAAAAATAAATAAAAAAAAATAAATTTTTTAATTTTTTTTTTTTCATTCTGATTATTTTTCAGATGTTTTGTCATTATTTTTTTAGTAGGGCCTAATGTTTTAAAAGCATCGTTCATAATTTTCACAAACTCTTTACAATAACTGGAGCTTCTATCAGTTCCCATAACTTTGACATAAC